ATTCTCTATCCTCATCCCCCTCCACCAAAGGTGAGTCTTCCTCACTCTAGAATTTCCCACTGGTCTCAGGGTACTATGATTCCATAAAACTCAACTTAATGGTAAAGTCTGAAGGTGAGTACATTGGCCTTTTCTACATCCTGCATTACATGAGGCCCTGTTCTGCCTAGTAGTGAACTCACACTTTCCCTAATCTTCCTTGTGCTGCTGATGCAGCTGTAGAAGCTCTCATTAGCCCCCATGTCCCTCATCATAATCAGCTCCAGGTGGACCGTGGCTTTTCTAATTTCATCTGCATGTGCTTGGATAGTGTCGCAAAATCTTGCTGAATCACCCGTCCATCTTCTTTTTGCTTCTTTTCTAATGTGGTTATTTTTTGGGTTTTTTTTTTTTGTGTGTTTTTTTGTGTGTTTTTTGTTTTTTTTTTTTTAATGAGGTGCTCCCTCTTAATTAATACAGGTGTTTGTCACCATTGCTTGAGTTTCTATATATGTGGATAGACCATTTTGACCTTGGAGGAAGGTGGTCTTGAAAATCGGCCACAATGATGGACTCTCTCAAAAGCAATGAAAAGCCCACCAATATCGAGGGTAGAAATGGGGCTTGCAAAATGAGAAGGCTATAGAAGTTCATGTGGACATAAGGATTTCTGTAGCTCTGTTACACTACTGTCATGGATACCTAGCCCAAGAAAACTATTGGTGCAGGTGAGCTTGGGGCTTTTTCTCGTGGGGAGTTGGAGAAGATCCAGATGATCCCACTCCTCGTCTCTTTCACTGCACAGCTTGTGGGACCTGTGCAGTGAAAGAGATGGTGACCTGTGGTCAGGGAGCAAATTTCCCTGGCCTAGCCTGTCTGAGATCCCCAGAGTCCCCTGCAGCCTGGTCTGGAGAGACATATCCTACCTTGGGAGTTTGGGCTAAGACCTCGGAGGTGTCAGGGACAGACACTTCTGGTGGTGCTGGCTATGGGGCCCTGCAGGATGTCAGCACCATCGCAGAGCCCATGTAGGTTGCTCTCAGCACAGCCTGGTCCCTGCTGCACACTCTGCTCCACCTGTGCTTGGGGCTTCAGGGACAGCCTGTTCCTCAGGCTCTCCCTGGTAAGTGCAAGGCAGAAAGAGTGCTCAACCCTCCCTGATCAGTATTCAGTGGGTAACAAAGCCCAAAGCACCTTTTGATCTGGAATAGCCAGCTGAGATCATTAGAACCTGCCAGATTTCACAAAAAGTCGCAGCCTCCTGTTGCTACCCTTTCCTGGTGACAGCAGGGATCCTGATGTTCCTCAGATAGTTTAGGTGATCAGCAGCCTACAGATTTTCAAAGACTGGTTTAATATTTAGCCAACTCAGTTTCCACTGTTTTCAGTCCTTTGCTGTCTTTTAAAGCTTTTTACAAGCCACCTCCTGCTTGAAGAATTCTTCCGTTGTGTTGCTAACGCATTCTAAATTGGGCAACAGGCTATGCTGCCATCAGCTGGAATTTGATGAGCAATGGGATAAAAGACCATATGATGTGATACTTAGTGATAGGAGGGGCTGCACATGAGGGCTTAGGCGGACTCTCCCAACCTCAATCCAGCTCCTGCCCCAGTTTTTATTAAAAAAATCCCCAATTCCTTATTTCAAATAGAAAGTCCGTTTACAAAATAGTAAAATAAAATAAAACAGCCAAACCTTTTGAAATAAGCTAGTCAAATCTTGCTCCCTTGCTCCCTTTACTCTCCCTTTAAGTTCATGTGAAATGCAGAGGGGAGCTGGCCTCATTCTGGCACAGGCCGTTATAGTGAATTATACCCACAGGAGAACTCAATGGGAAGAGGTTGCTGTCTGGAAATCACATGTGCTGCCAGTTTGTGGGGTTGTCTTAGGAAGAACATGGAGGCAAAGATCACATCTCACCCTTCTTCCCTATGTATCTCTGCCCAGTTGTCACCATGGAAGAGACTGGTATTAAAAGGAAGAGTTGGGGAAGACTTGATTTCCCTTAACTTTTTGCTTTCAGTGGGACAGCACTGGGAAAGCCATGAAAGATCTGCTCACACTCTCAGGGGAGCCCAAGGAATGTTAGGCAGAGGGAGATAGGCAGCTGAGGCCCACAAAGGGCCGAATAGTTTAGATAATGCTGCTATGCATTGCTGCTACTATGTAACCCTGACAATGACTTTCATTCTATGGAAATACATGAAGGTTAAATAAGCACCTTAACAGATTAAATAAAGAAATCTCTTGGAAAAATATATAAGCAAATCTCTGTTCTTCCCCCCCCCCCCTCCTGTTTTATTCATCACGTGTTTAACTTTCATGGAATTTTAAAAGAATCTACTAAATCTACTCTTACATTTCTACTTACCTGCATTTTGTTCCAATTCCCCATAAATTATAGGGGAAAGAGGAAAAGAGGACCTGCCTTTTTTTTTTCTTTTTTTTTTTTCATTAAATACAGCTGTGAGCTGAAAAAAAAGCAAAATCAAGGAAGACACGAGGCCACACATGTCCAGCTTATTTGGCCAAAAGCAAAGTCCACCCTTGCAGCTTTGTTGATTCATTTCCTCCGAGATTTTCCTGACTAAAATAATATTTGAGTATCAATGACACACACGGGGGTAGCTGACCTTTACTTGGCACGGAGCACAAAGGGCAGCAGAAAGGACAATTTTAAGCCAACTTCGTGCCCTCCAGTGCTTTGGAGCTCCAACCTATGCCCAGCTGCCACAGTCCTCAGAGAGATTCAAGCTGAGAATAGCTAAAGCCACTGTCAGGCTCTAAAGCATTCTCTCTGCTGGTGACTGTCCTTCTCTGCTGGAGGAAGTGTCCTCAGCCATCCCAGGGACTGGGTTATATTGGTTGCGTCCACCTGCTCCAGTGATGCCATCTCTCTGTCCCTGGGAAGTCCAGCTCCTTGTTGCGGTGGGATCAGAAGACTGTTAGGGACTGTGGCCAGGATTACACCTTCCCACCTTCCAGGTGCACAAAACACCTTGCCATACAGAACCAACTCTAAAGATCCATGCTGGTGACAAAAACCAGCTTCCCTGGGTGAGAGCTCCTTGCTGGGTGATGTGGGGCCAGGTTAACTCCATCACAGAATCACAGAATCATAGAATGGTTGCGGTCAGAAATGACCTGAGAGATCATGTAGTTCCAACACCTCTACCTTGGGCAGGGACATCTTTCACTAGCCCAGGCTGTGTGAAGCCCCATCCCTCCTGGCCTTGAATGCTGCCAGAGATGGAGCATCCACAACCTCTCTGGGGAATCTGTGCCAGTACCTCACCACCCCCACAGTGAAGAATTTCTTTCTATATCTAATCTAAACTTACTGTCTTTCAGTTCAAAGCCTTGTCCTATCACTTCATGTCCTTGTCAAAAGTCCCTCCCCAGCTCTCTTGTAGGCCCCCTTTAGGTACTGGAAGGTGCTCTAAGGCCTCCCCAGAGCCTTCTTTTCTCTAGGTTGAACAACTCCAACTCCTTCAGAGGAGAAATGCTCCAGCTCTCTGAGCACCTTTGTACCCCACCTCTGGACTCACTCCAGCAGGTCCTTGTCTTTCTTGTGCTAAGAACTCCAGAGCTGGATGCAGTATCCCAAGTGGGATCTCATAACAGCAAAGTAGATGGAGAGGATTATCTTCTTCACCTTCCCCTCTGCTAAGTTCTCCACAGTGGTACCATGAATCTACCCATCCCAAGGAAATAAAGATGAGAACACATTTTTCTGTTTCTTGATCCATTATACATCAAATGCAAGAAATTTCCATTCAGGAGTAATCTTACTTTAAAGAATTGACCTATTCCTCTGCCCTGAGGTCTTGATTCTTGTGCACAGCCACACAGCTCTAAAATGTATTGTTTACCACTCTTCCTTCTCTTTTATGGAGTCATAAATAAGAGTTGATTTTATAAGTTCACATCCCAAACTGACAGGATTGGAGATATTTTTAACAGAATTTTAATTTAGCCTTAGGATGCATGGTACCTTCTCTGTGAAATTCAGTATTCTTTCTGTTTGCACTGTCTGTACCTCAGGATTTGAAATAATTTCCCTTCTTTGGCATGAGAATGAACAAATAATTGTCTGAACTGTTTTTGAAATAAATGATGTTAACCAAGATACTTTTCCCTTAATCATGTTATTAGCTGTGCTGATCTCAAGGGCCTTGCTTGCACAGGTAAGTGTTGCTCATGTGAATAAACATGACCCAATCCTCTGCTGCAAGTGGAAGCAGGGAAGCTCAGCATCTGTTTGGATACAGTTTTCTGCCCTCAGTGAGAGCTGACTTCATGGTGCATCAGACAGTCAGGCATGGCAGCACAATCCCTTTCTGCTTTTCCAAGAGACAAAACTACTAAATCAACCTCATGCGTGTCCTCTAAAGGACACCCATTCCCTTGTTACCTTGTGGACTCCTGCTTGTAGATGTCAATGATGTTCTCCACCAGCAGGTTCCTCTGCAGCCCGTAGACACCGTGTCGGTCCAGGACCACCTCGTGCCTGCAGGAGGGACAGCGGAAGCGGCCTCCCGACGCCACAGTTGTACCTCCCCTGGTCGGCAGGTAGGGGTTGGAGGCCTGTTCTTGCCAAGCAGCACAAGGAGAGGGAGGTACGGTCATGAAAAACCATGAAAGCATCTTACAAAAGCACCAAATGGTAGGAAACCATTTGTCACTATGCCCAATGAGAGGGTAATTCCGACATGTCACCCCTGGGAAAGCACCTGGTGACTGCTGGGCGAGAGGCCAGTCCCTCAGCTCACGCTCGGCCATGTCACCACAGCCAACAGGTGGCACTTTCACCTGCTGTGAGCTCAGCCCTGGCGCCCAGATACATCAACTTTGGCCTTAAATCACTCCCCCCAGCCCTGTCTCACCAACTGTTAAAATTGATCTACCAAAACATGTAAAAAAAATCTCCTTTCCCATTCATTCCAGCCAGTCATGCTTGGGGAACAGAGGTCTCTGTGGGAAGAAACCTACCTGGAAGATGTCACTGGCGCACTTCCGACAGAGGTTGTGCTGGCAGGGCAGGATGACCACAGGCTTGGTGAACATCTCCAAACAGATGGGGCAGATCAGCTGTTTCTCCAGGTTATCCATAGTTTGCTGCTCTTTGGAGAAAGACTTGTAGCTCAGGGAGGTGCTCATCCCTAGCTTTTCCTGGGGCTTACGCTCAGGGCCACGGCCTTGTGGAGAGATTTTGAGCTTAATTTCCCGTGAAATAAGTCCGAGGCTGTGCTGCAATCAGGGGCTCTCTGTGTTGCTCGGGCCGGAGGACATTGTTTGAGCGAGGGGCCGAGCAGAGCTGGGGCTATTTTAGCAGCGCTGCGTCAGAGCTGCCGTCCTGCCGTGCCCATATATGCGCGTGAGAGCAGGACACGCTGGGACAGGTGACGGCTGCCGGGGGAGGGGGAGGCCGGAGAGGCCCTGGCTCTCCTCACTCACACATGGCAGCCTTCACCTCTTGAGGAGCTGGGAGTGATAAGCAAAGGCCATCCGCTCCCTTTCCTTATCTTTGCAGGTCAATGGAGACCAAAGGGCTTGCCCTAGCCTGTGCAGCCACATCCTGCAGCCTAATAGACATTCTGTTGTCAGCGAGCAGCCGTGGCCATGAGAGGCAGGATGTCATTTTGCCCATGTGTTTTGGGAGGCACCAGGATCCTACCTTTCCAAGGTGTGAAGTACATCTGGTTACTGGAGAAGACAATAGGAGCAATGGCTGCTCTGGGAGCTTGAACACTTCAGGGTGTAAACATCTCACCACCCTGAAAACCAACCAAACAAAATTGCCTGTCTACAACTGTGCTTAAGTTTGTTCTGGTAAGATTTTGGTCTAAGGAGCTATAACATAAAAATCCAATGTGACTTCGAGCCATTTGTGCACATTAACTCCATGGGCAGGTTAAATATGCATGAAAAACACCAGAAGAAATACAGTGTGAAAGGCTTTCATTTGTGCTGCTAGAGAATAGGTACTAATTGTGTATGTCCTCTCTCCAGTATTTAATTCAAATATATTTTCGTTTTGGACACTGCTGTGTTTATATCTGTTTATTAGACCCTGATATCCCTTTCAGCTTGGCACTTGTTCCAGAGTTATTTTTAAAATGACAATTTCCCAGATAATTTGTGACATGTGATGCCTGATCTTAAGGGAAAGCCATCTGTGCTTTTACTTGCCAATAATTCATCACACAACTGTACAAGCAATAAATATCTCATCTTCAAATTTAAGCCAAAGTCCTTGCATTACTGTATAAAATCACTTTGCCACCATACTGTGCATGTAATCAGAATATTTTCTTCTCTTTTATTCAATAACTAGAATACTTTCTCAGTTCAGTGTCTTGTAGAAACCGTTAATGTTTATTCTGCCTTATGACTGTATAGGGCTTGCGTCTGAAAAATGCATTAGAGCAGCTGAGTGAGTGCCCCATGCATCCAGGGACAGACCCCCAGTTTTAAAGCAAGGCTGTCAGTCTGCATGCAACACCAGTCTGGAAACTGTGCACTTTAGGAAAATATAAAAGTGAAGGTTTTAATGGATTTCTGCATGAAAAGGAATACTATCTTCTGCGTGCAATTGTAATAAATAATATTAAATTAAATGTATTATTGGCTATTTTATTTTCAGTGCCTCACATTCTTTCTTAAGTGTTTGAGTGAACTGTACTCATTTGCAGCCCACCAAGGGAAATTCCCCTGTGTAAAGTTACACACATTTGTCAGCAGTCCCATTGAAACAAATTGATTTTTCTAAGTCTTGCTTTCATGGGAAATTAGTCATAGCTTAGCTAAACTCACTTGAAATCACACCTTTTCTTCTACTGCCTGGTGTGGACAAGAGCCTGAAGTCCCGTGGTAGAAGCTGCTCCAGCAGCTGAGCTGAGGACAGCTGGGGCCTTTGGAAGGGCTGGCAGGGAGCCTTCCCTGTAAGAAGATATTTCTCTTCTTTCCCTCCCCTCATAGCTGGGTCAGAGGTGACTTTTGCATCTGCAGGAATCTGAACGCCTCATTCTTTCCCTCCTAACTTGGAGTCAGATGCCCCTTGCACAGCAAAACCTGCTTCAATAAGGGGTTCTGAACTAGATGAGGAAAGCCATCCTCATCTGGCAGGGCAGGAACTTCCACCTTACAGCACAGGCAGAAACAGAGAAAATCTGGAGGGAAAAGCTGAAGGCTAGAAATGTCAGCACACAAAAACACCTGCATATGCTGATGTAGGGAAGGGGGTGTCCCTGGCATGCAGAAAAAGCCATGCTAGCCCTCTGGAGAATGAACTGAGGCACCTCTCAGGGTGTAACTTGTTTCTGGGATGTGATTCTGGTGATTTTATACATACCCATGGTAACCCCTAGAAGCCTTCTGTTAAGTGGCTGAGCAGGACATCTGATGCATCTGCAGAGGACATCTGGTGGCAACAAGGAGGGACAGTGTGCTGCTGGTTTTCCCCTTTCTGTGTGCTGAAGCATGCTGACATGGAACAGGTAACAAACAATGCAAGCAAAAGGAGGAGACAACAAAACAAAGATAAATCCATCTTTTGCAACCTGAGCTGAAATATTTCTTCTGGCAGGAACATGTAGTCTAGACATGTGAAAAATTAGTACAGGCTTTTCTGAGAAGGTATTGTGAACCACAGCAATAAATTTTAAGTAAAGAAATGCAGAGGCTTGACCACACTTGCAAAGGCAGGATGAGAAGTGCCAGGAATGCCACACATTGTATGACCACTCTGCAAAAAGAAGGAAGAGAAGAGCCAAGTCCAAGACACTGAGGAGAAATAGGAAGATCCTGCAGCTGGTCTTCAGGAGGGACTACTTAGGATAAGCTTCAAAGAACTCACACTGAGAAAGTGCCTGGCACCCTCCTGTCTCTCCCTGGCAGCCCTGTCCCCCTCCTCTTCCTCCCCTTCCACTCCTCCGTGGGAAGACACACATAGCTGTCTACCTCTGAAGAGTCACCAAGTCAAGCCATCTCTCAAGGGACAAAAAATGGGCAAGAGGTCTTGCTTTAAAACTCCTCCTGGACAGAAAATCTGGATGTCTTCCAGCCATCACCAAGAAGAAATCTTTTTTTTTTTTCACTATTGCTTGTCTGGGAGTGTTACCTGGCTTTGTTTATATAACCAGAATACTAATTCCTAAATATAGTCTTGCTTTTAGAGACATTACTTCTAACTGTACTATTTTGCAGCTGAATAACAGCTTGTGGCCTGTGGACTGATGGCCTGGAACCTGGAAAGCTGGCTGCAAAGCAGTGGGCTTAGGAGAGGGATTTGGAGGAGGAAGGAGAGGTTGAGTGATGTCCAGGTTCAGGTTTCAAAGCCATAATGACATCTCTGGGTTTTGCATTCACAGAATTCCCCTCTGCAACCTCTTATCTTGTACTAGAGTTGTGAAGCTCTTGTGTGTCACTCAGAAAATCAGGCCTGTGGCTCTCTCACATGACTGGAAAACAAAGAGAAAAATATTTTGGCCAGAGGATGCTGTCAAAAACATGCTCCCACATGAGTTGTTTCTCCAATGAGCCTGCAGAGACCAAGTGAACTCTGCAAGGAGCAGACTCCTTGTCCAGGCATCCTGTCCTGGACATGGTAGGTGGTGAGAAGCATCCTGGTCCATGAGGTGACAGTGCCTTGGCCTGCTTCCACTCCACCTTCTGCCTGTCCTGGGGGGTGAGCAAGTACCTCACCACCCCACCCCGGAGTGGGCAGACCTCTCTACTGGCAGCTGCCTGAAGCAGTTTGGAGCTGCCCATCATTCTCTGGGCAGGGATCAACATCCATCCCCACCCCACTGCCTCCAGCAGCTCCCCACTCCTGAGGCTGGTGGGACTCACCTGCAGGCTTCCCACAGCAGCCCAGCTGCTGGAAGAGGACAGAGCTAGTGGGTGCCTGAGCAATACAACATCCTAACAAAAATGAGGTTGCCATCTCCAATTCTTCCCACCCTAATGTGAGACTTAGGGCAAAATTATGCATCCTTCCCCTCTTCCCAAACTGCTACCCCTGCTTGTTGTTCTGGCTGAAAAGATTGGCATTTTTAGTGAAGCGTGCTTCGGGGAGGCTGGGGGAGGTTCTCCATCAATCTCACCTTTTGTCAGTGCCCATTTACCCTGCCTGAACAGTCCCTCGGGAGCAGGTGGCAAGCACCGGCATTCCCATGTACAGGCCAGCATGCTGCAGAGACTCAGATTTCACTTACATTGGCAGCAACTTAATGAGCCGACAAGCCAGCTATAAGATGAAGCCCTCCTACCTATAAAAGTGCAAACTGAAAATTATATTTTGCATTTCATGATTTTATTGTGATTGATAACACTCCATGATAAATACTGAGACTACCCTTGTGTGTGACTCAATTTATGCAGCCTAAGAGAGCCTTTGCAACAGAGACAAGTGCTTTCAAAAACATTAGGCTTTTGAGACTGACATTTTTTCCACTCAACACACACACATATATATATATCTTTGTCTTTGTGTACCTCATATGTGATGACAGGCCATATGCGGTCAGTATTTAGAGACCTTCTAAAAACAGTCTGAGGATTGGTTTCGGATCTCCAGGAAAACAAAGACCAGCACAGGAGATAATGACATCTTTAGAAAGTTTCTTTTGCACATATGAAATCACAGCAGAAGAGGAAAACTCAAAGCATTTCCAAGGGTGAGTCACTGGGAGCACGTCAGATGTATGGGACATGAGATTTCAGGAACCAGCTACAAAGACCTGACAGAGGGAGGATGTCTGCCCTTTTCTTTTTAATAGAGAATGGACACTGCCCTGAGCTGACTGTGCTCAAAAGCAGCCTTCTCTGGGTTTATCCACGCTCAAGGACTTTCCACAGTTTGTAGCAAACCAGGAGAAACATGGGATAAAAAGGCATATGAATTAGATAATAACTTCTGTTCCAAATTAATCAGTGGTACCAACATAAATTATTGCAGACAAACCTCAGAGATCTGGATTAAAAGACCCTGAAACAGTGAGAGTCTGCGGACAAACTGCATGAAGGACTAATTCCTGCATGCTGTGGTTCTGCCATCGTTGTGACACCAAGATATGAGGTCACTGCCCCACCTGTCTGCCTGGGAGAAGGGAGATCCTTTGGCTTCCTTCTGCCCCCCAGCAGTGCCAGCAAGCCCGCATGAACCTGTCATCCAGCTTTTGGGGACACAGGGAAACAAAGCCTTCCCAAAAGAATGTCCTGGTTTCCTCAGAGTCCTCAAGATCAGGATAAGAAATGGTGCTCAGGCCATACCCTTCAGGCAGGCAAGGTGACCCTGCAAGGTGATTAACATGAGGCATTTATCATGTTCCTTGCAGTTATTAGTATTGTCTAAAGTCTCAAAATCAGTGAGCCTAAAAAGACCAGATGTAGGAAAACAAACATGAGATGAACAGTTCAGCGTCTCCCCAAACCACATGCAACTTTACAAAGAGATTCCCAAACCCTCATCCCCTCCACACATTACTAGAAAAAGATCCATATTTCACAGCCAAGACTTAAAAGTATGTCCAAAGGACTGGAGGAAGTATTGCATGTGGGAAATACTAGCACTGCACTACTGTCTACCTAAAAATAGGTCCTTTCCAGGACTAGGGACAAGTTTCACAGATAACAAGAACAGGCTTGCTAACCCCCAAACATACCCTGCAGTGAAAATGAGACATGAAGGAAGAAAGGATATAAGTAAAACAAAAGCAGTTAGAAAAAGGGAAGAGCACACCAGTTAGAAAAGTGGGAAAATCCCACTTCCTTCTGAAGAGTAAACAAGCAAGTACTTTTCTATTTTAGCACAATCCTCTGCTTTTCAAATGCACCCCTGACCCTTTCCCTCCTACTTTCCTATCACAGCATCCCACAAAAGCCTGTTTGTAAATCATGGCTCAGTCTTCTCTACTAGCAGAAAGGTAGGAATGGTGCAACCTCCCCAGGTACCTGCATTTTGTGGAATAACTGGGATGTTTGATGCTGGAGTGCAGGAGTTGGTGCTGTGGCAGTGGGGAGGAACAGAGGTGGCACAGCAGGGGCAGTGCTAGGGGGAACCTCCTAAGGGGACCTCCTAAGCAAACCAGAATTTAAGGAAAAGGGTACTGCATAGTTTTAACAACAGGAATTTTGACTGGGTGAAAGATTTGTGTTCTTCTCTGGACTTAACAGGCCATAGCACTCCAAACCCCACTGCTGCAGCCCCAGGTCTGTCAGTAGGAAAGAAGAGTGATGTTCAGTAGAGAGGGACTTGTGTTTCACAGCACAGACCCAGCTTAGGCTTCCCAGCTGGCATCAGCTCATCACTTCACAGGGATACAGCCCTGTCCCAGTGTCAGGTTTCTCCCTAGCCTTGGTCTGCTTGACATAAGCCACTCTTGATGCTATTTCAGTACACTCTCCATTGCTCAGCTGGCAGAGCAGAGGACTGCATATATTTTTTTTTCCAGGACAATGCTCAGGTCCATAGTTCAAAGGAGAGACTGATTTTAAGTTTGCACTCAGCACAAAATTTATACCACATCAGAGACCTGCTGAGACTCCATCCTAGCTCCCCAGGATGGTCTAAGTTATGTTCTCATCCACCCCCATCTTGAGGGTCATTCTTTCAGGACAGAATAGAGATTCAGTGCTTGAAGATAAAGAGTCAAATAGTTCCATATTACAGCTAAACAAAAATACTGTGTGGGGGAAGAAAAGTTTTCACACAGTAATTTGCTACCAGAACCAGGAAAGTGTGTGGGTTATCAAGTGGCTAGTGTCAGAGGCAAGAAATGTTCTTAGGGTTATTAAAAATTCTTCTGTTTTCCTTTTATTTCCTTTTGCTATATGCCCATGCTTTCAAGGCATATAACAAAACCAGCATGACTCTTCATTCCTGAGTACCAATACCTTTTTTTCCCTTTTGAAAGTCAGACAAGAAGAGAAAGTTTTCCTTTCCATTCCTGGCCATTTTCCAGTCAAGTTCTTTCACCCACTCCTTCACAAGAGACTTTTGTGAGCATAGGGGAGCACAGCACTGGAAAATGAGATGCAGGCATTTGCAAGGAAAGGAAAACAACAGGAAAAGCCTTCAAGCCAGGCACTTTTAGCTATGATCAGGAATGTCGTCCACTGTGACATTGTGTTCATTGTAACAAGCTGCAGTTTATTGCATTAACGTCCTTTTGAATTATCACTTCAGGAAGCATCTCAAGCACGTCGGCCCATGTCCACACACGTGGTGTTGCATCACCCTCTCCCCACACCAGGCTGGTCCCTAGTCAGCCCTTCTGATTCTGCCAGAGTTTAGGGAATACAAGGGAAGAAAGGGTGCATAGCAAGTTCTTTCACCATAAAATAACTCAGATTTTGTGTCCACTAAAAGGCTTTGACCTTGCCACAGCGGGGGCAGTTTTGCAGTAAGATTTGTGTGTGCTGACTGAGGATGCACATCTCCCACTACACACTTCTACCCTCTGCAGTCAGGATTGGGCAATATGAACCAATAGTTCACAGCAACAGACAGCACCGTAATAGTCTGATACAATGATCTGGGTAGAAGACAAAGAGTTGAGGCTGGCTGTCTTTCCTCTCCTTCCAAAATTCTCCCCCTGATGAGCCAAAGGAGCTTGTCATCAGCCTGGAGGGTGACCCCCCTCCATGACCCTAGCCATCAGCACTGAGGGACACTGCTCCAGCATTGAATGTAAGAGAAGGTGTGCTGCTGTGAGCTGAACGTGCTCCTCTGTCCCACCACTGTGGTCAAGAAGCTGGGAAAACAGGGCACCACTGTCCCCACATCCCCTGTCACTGCCACCCTTTGGATCAGGAGAAGACAAGTGAGGGAGAGAACAAGCACGTATAGGGCACAGGGAGGGCTGGGATTTGGTGGCAAAGCAGAGCATGGGATCAGTGTCAGAGCTGCTGTGCATTTCCATTCTCACAGCATTTAGAGCTGCACTGCTAATGGAGCCTGCAAATAAGGAGAGGTAGTGCAAAGACAGAGCCTCTGATGGATTCTGCTTATTGCAAGTTTTGCTTCCTCATGTCTCTTGTGTTGCTCTTTTTATAATGCTGTGGGGTCAGCTACCTTCATTTCTATCCTGTTGTAGATGTGCAGAAAATCTTACTTCAGGTAATCCTTAGGTAAGAGGTGACAAGCTGGAGCAGTACACGGCCTTGTTCTGATGCTTCTGATACTTCCAAAGACTGTAATGGAAACATGAGATGGGTGATAATAGATTTATGTAAGAGTAGACTACAAATCACATCTCTTCCAGTTACCCACGTAGTATGGCCTTCGTGCTATTTCCATCCCTAATCAGTGCTATGAAACACTTCACAACAAGCTGACAGCTTTGCAGCAGCATTGTTTTGTGCAGAAATTTGTATTCAAGGCACCTTTTGGGCCTTAGTTCCCCATATCCCACAGTGATGCATTTGCTACTTGCCATCATGCTGCTGGGACTGGGGCTGCTGCAAGATCCTGCTGGGAGCTTCTCTCAGGACTGCATCTCTCATCTTTTGATAGCTCAGCTCCCAGGGTAGAGGGCTGCAGTGTTTTCAGAGGAATCCTTAAGTCACTGGCTCTAATTACAGCTCAAAGGAGAGGGGATTTTGGCAGGGGAGGAAGATTTCTACTAATCACTAAACTTCTTACTGTACTCCTGACAGACACATTGAGGAATCTTAGGAGTCATGACCAGAGCTTTGTCCCATTCCACGCCACTGTCCACAGCTGCCTTTGCCAGCAGAGGATGCCTCTGCCATCCCTGACCTTCATCAGAGGTACTCACCAGGGACCTCATTATTGCAGCCAAAATGGGGCAGACATGGCTATAACTAACCTTTAGCATTCCAGAGAACATGGCAAGGAGCCTGACATGAGCTAGGTGGCCACAGAGCAACAACTCACTGTCCCCTTCAGCTAGTAATGTCATCAGGCAATCAGTAACAATGAAATCCCACTTAATCCAGAAGAGATCAAGTAAGAACAGAAATAAAATAATTCATCCATGACAAATCCATTAATATCCATCCAAAATAGATTATATTTATGGAATACTTAAAAAACTATACAGGCTCCTATCCTTGCTGATCTTAATTGGCAAGACCTCTCACCCACCATCAGGTATTCAGGTGATATTCCTGAGAAGGGGCAATGCTTCCTTAGAAATCTTCTCTGCATGTAACGTCTCAGGTTGCATTCAGTGGGGTACTCCTGATATGTCAGGTCTCATAACAAGTCCCTTGGGTTCCTGAAATGTGTCCAGACAGGATGCTTATTCCCAGAACTCAAATCATGCATCGTTCCCTTTCAGGGAAGTATGTCTCTTTAACAAGCCAGGTGTCATCCAGTCAGGCAGGACTTTCTCTGGTGACTTGTTAACATGTTCCCATGTGAAATGTTCTTTATACCTGACCTCACAAGGTACATGGAGATGGAAATCGAAAAACAGAGCTTTCAAGGAGCCAATGGGGAGGGCAGGAAGCTCCATCTTTCTTCATCTAGATGTTCTCATGTTCAACCCTTCCCTCACTTTACAGCTTTTTTAGGGAAGCATGTCCAGCATGTGGAAGGAAGAAAGAGCCTATTGTCTCTGACCCAAGCCTGGTGTTGTCCCCACTCCTCCTTCCACCCCAAATGCTGTAGGAGCCACGCAGGAGGGCAGAAAAGTGCTGAACCTTTTCTTTCCAGTTTAGGGAGGAAACTGTGCTGCCAGCTGGCTAATGGGTATCTCTGTGTGGCCCCTATGTGAGGCCATTTTGTAAGTCTGGCAGGAGAATGTTTGAGGGAAGTGGAAGGTGCAAAGGGACAAAGACACAAGAGGATAAGGAAGGAGACTGAGTGTGCATGCACAGCAGTAAGTCCCAGGATGTTGTCTGCATTGAACAGATTGTTTAAAAGTGATTTCTCAAGCCCAGCACAATGCCTCCACCTCCTCTGCTACTTCACAGCACCACAGCAACTGGCTTTTCATCCTTCCCACAACAACCTTCATCTCCTTTATCCTCTTCCATGAAGGGGTAAACTGTCTGGCCCTCTCCCTGAAAAGACAAGTCCCATCAACCAGGGAGCAGCCTCTGCTTGAGCAGGCAAGGACTGCTCCCCTTGCTTCTATTCCCAGCACTAGCTTGAAGCAACCCATCCCCTCCAAACCAAGGCTGACTAGGCTCATACTCTCTGCTATATTGGTTTTGCCCACCAGAATAGTGACAGCAGGCAGGGCAAAGAAGAGATGTTTACATTATTACAGAATGAAAAAAAAAAAAAAAGAAAAAGAAAATACCAAGCTGGTGCCTTTCCCATGACAGCACTCAGGCTTAGACAAGGTATTGTTAGCTGGCCAGGTAATGCTAAAGAAATGAAATCATTCTTATTTTTGCCAAGAAGAAAGGCCATCCTGTCTCTTGAATAGGGAAGAAATAGGAAGAGCTATATACCAAATTAGTGAAATTCCTAGGATTGGAAGAATTTTGGATTTTAGCAGAAAATGTTTTAGAACATGAGAAGTACTTTGTTACACTGCAAGGAAAAGTTTCTTGATCAACACAGCCTGAGGTGTAAGGTGTGGAGGAAAGTAGGCTGTCTGCTCCTTACTGTGTCAGGAGGGCCTGCAGCAAAATGCCTGGATATGAGGGAATAGCCGTGCTGATTTAATCTTCAAAGCCAGTAAATGAAGCCTAGTTTTCTCTCATTTCCCCACCTACCTCTTTTATAAGTTTATCTGTCTTGGCAACTGAGTATATGTTTTTGTTTTCTTTTTGTCTTAACCTGTCTTGCATTAAGTATGATTTCAGCGTAATTGGATACTAATGACTTGTTTCTTGCCAAAGGATGTGGTAAAACTCCACGTAGAGCTTGGGGCACCTAACCAGCACTCTGCCAGCTTGTTCTCCATTATATCCACAGCATTGTGTGCAAACATCCAAAGCAATGTCCCTTCCTTCAGCTGCAGCCCCCATGCTCTCCCCTGGATAATAGTCAGGCAAGGACAAGTACAGAAGCATTCTAGAAAGGTATTACCCCTTCTCATTTCTAGCTTTTACATGTATTCACTCCCTTATTGGTCCACTAGCCTGAATTCCGAGTCCTGGCTCCAGCCTTCCTTAGGCATTTGGATTGTTTGCTACAACCAAGGCTTTTTCTCAAACCATGAGTCTTGGTTGCAGCCGTCTCCATGGCTCAAGCAGGGCCCACCTCACTGGGTCCTGCTTTCTGAATTGCCAGACACCATGATGCAGCTATTTTGGAATGTAGCACATGCTGCATTAGGCAAAATGGAGCACCCTTGTTTGCTCAGAGAAATCCTGTTGGAACGACATGAAAATCCGAGAGACTATCCTTCTCTAACATCATTCTTCATCCCATCACTGCAGGAGGGGTAGCATCCCTGGGATCTCTGAGCTCATACATGGAAGCCCTCTATTCTGCCTGGCCTGGGCATGCAGTGGATCATCTCTCTGGCTGCCAACTGGAGGAATAGGTGTGAGTTCAAGATGCCCAAGTACAAAAAGGCAACACCACCACCCCTGCAAACTCTTGTTTGCAATTACACGCTTCCTGTTGTTCTACACCCACCACCCATTTGGACACACTCACCCCCTTTCATTCACTTTGTGTTTTTTCTGGTTAATTCAGGGAAAAATAAAACACATTTGCAAGAGAGAAGCTATTTGCAAGTCTTTGCTTATGAAGGATCTGCTCCTCCCAGTTTATCCCCCTGCACTAGCCTCAGGCAGTCAGGAATAATTTGGCCTCATCTTCACTACTCACCTTACTTGCCCCTCACAAAGTAAAGTGAGCAAGGATGAAAATGAAGAGAGATTGGACTGAATAACAGGTCTAAAGCGAGCTGTCTGTGGACACAGACAGTGACTCTACCTCTCACCTACTGAATACATTCCCCACTTCTCACACCTTGCTTCCACTCCATGCCTTTTTCTTCATTACCTCAGCACAACACTCCTCCTCCAGGCTGCAGTTTGGCAAGCACCTGCAAGAAGATGAGCTGCCCTGGCCAGCAGGAGAGAACAGCCTGGGCCTCTCACCTACCTTGTGCTGGCCCTGACTGCAAGGTCTGGTCCCCTCATTAGCACCATCTGAGCTGATTCTGACCATTGGAAAATTATCCACCTTGCTGGATTATCAAGGTGACCCAGATGCCTGGAGTGCCCACAGAAAACTATAGCTAGGAAAAGGCAAGCTCTATACTTTGGGGCATTAGAGAAGAGGGAAGGAGAAGTGGGACCTCTTTACTTTGGACTAAAAAGCTGCCAAACAGGCTCATCCTTCTTTCAAACTTCATCCTCAAGTTCCTTATTATTATCCAGAACATAATGAATACCTTCAGTACCCCAGAAGATAATCTATCACTTGAAGGAGCACTCACAAGTCAAGCTAAAAGCCATCACTTATGACAGTAGTCAGGCACAATCACTGCAGCCAGGAAGGTACAGGAGCAATGTGTGTTCAAATAGAGCTGTGGTAATTTAACGCCTGACTCCAGCAGCTCCCAGCATTTTCTGTGGTAGCAGGTTGCATGAATCTCATCCTGCTTCTAAGGAATGGAAAAAAGTGCCATGCATGTTCTTTACCAAGCTCCCTTATGTACAACACTGATTAACTGTTTTGGTTTGGTTTGCATTGGCCTAATGAAAGTAGGGCTGAATATGCAGAGGGTTTTTTTTCCCAGTATCCTGGCTCTCTCTGATACAGACCTGTTTCTAAGAGCCTGAATAGACAACTGTCATGCCAGAACTCAAACATCAAACAAAGGCTACCATGGGAAAGAAGCTTGTATGTAGCTCACTGACATCAAGTTATTATCCATGTTGATCCAGTGATGGATCAACACATTTGACTGCCACAAGGTAAACAAAGGGCTCAGAAAAGCAGGCAGCAATCATCAGAGGTCCCGAAGCTGAATCCAAAATGTCATAAATCACCGTCTCTTCTTGGAAAAGCAGAATCTTCCTTGAATGTGGCTGATGAGTAAAAACTGGAAAACAAGTTCTGTGACCTCATGGCCTTTGTGGAGCTTATCAAGTGACCAAGACCACAGTCACTGAGACACAGTCACTTTTGTGAAGCACCAGTGTGAAGCTCTGTATGAATTCACAGGCAAAGCCTGTTCAGACTGTTCAAAGAGCATCATCTCTGGTAGCTGCAGGAAAAAATTATGGGGTAGAGACCAAGAGTAGTTCAGAGGTCAGTGCAGGAACCAACATGTGGATGTGAGTCAGGAGTGTTGTAACAGGAGAGGTATTGATGTGACAGTGGCGTGAGGACTGCCTGGAAGATGAGGTGCTGATGGTCTCTGACTGCCTCCAGAGATGCTCCTACCCCTCACAGCAGATCAGCTCTGTGTTAGTCCCAGACCTCCAGGCTCTGTCTGTCTGATGTAGGGTCCTTCTCAGAGGCAGGACCAGGTGTGGAGTGAAGGCTCATCTGCTACACAACCATGGATGCAGTAGATTCCTCCTTCTCCCACCAGCTGGGATTCCTCCTCCAGACACCAGGGGAATAGGTGGGCTCTGCTGGCCCAAACAGGGGCAGGGAGACAACAGAGTTTATGAGTGAAGGGGCATGATACACCTGCCAGAATTTGGGAACTAGATGATATGATGATGTTTTTCCTATTTTCCTTTCAGCATAGATATTGCAGCAGGTGACACAATGGGACATTCTCAGCTTGCACTTGCAAAGCTTCTCCTCACAGTGAAGCAATGCCAGATATGGAGCTTGGCTACACATACTGGGATTTCCACTGTGTGACCTCTGCATTTTGGTAATGCTGGGCATCAGGTATCCCCTGAGCCCCTATGGAAGGCTACACCACGAGCCTCATGGAGGAGCCAAAACAGCTGGGGGCCAGTGGCGCAATGGATAACGCGTCTGACTACGGATCAGAAGATTGTAGGTTCGACTCCTGCCTGGCTCGTTTCAATTTTACACTCTTTCTCACCTTCCCCACCCTGGTCTTCCCCATGGCTCCCACCCACCCCGCTGTGCATAGCTGGAGGGAAAATTGCAAAGCTTGTGTAATTAAAAACAGAACACAACAACCCTCAACAACCAACCAGTTCAAAAGCTGGAGATGTGCTTCTGTGTTCCTTTATGTTGATACCCACACATCCTGCTCAGCATCCTTGGGAATTTTCAATTGGGTCAACTCCACCTTCAAACAGACTTATTTTGGAAAAGATTTTATTACATGGATCTTTCCCAACCCCACTGGGAACTTTCAATATTCATTTCTATTTCCAGCATCTTCCCAGTTTTCCACTATCACACTCCAGCTTGCCTGACCCTGGAGGATGCTCATTTATCCAACTCCTCCTGCTGAAATGGGGCAGGGGAATGTCCCTAGAAGATAAAAATCATGTCTAAGTGCCCAGGATGTGAGCTGAGAGAGCTGCAGATAGCTGAGTGACAGCTGGGTAACCCTGAAATCCCACGTAGGTCAGGTGAAGAGTAGGTACAAAAAGAAGCATGTGTTTGCAATATTCAAAATGGATATACTGACAAAGAGTACTCCAGTGAAGGAATAATAAAGTTTCAGGTACTAACAAAATCAGGAAAGTGCTCTCTTTTTTGCAGTGGTTTCCCACCTTTACGATCAGCAGAACATCTTGTCTATGCATGTGCCACATATCTCAAACTGCATCCATCAGGAAGCACCTTGTTTTGCAGGAACATTTTCACCATCTCTCATTTGAAATCCTTCAGGCAGACTGAAACTCTTTACCCTCATACTCCCATGAGATTTATTGTTTTACCTTTCTCCAGCAAAAGAGACAACTTTTGTTTGAAATACAAACACACTTTTTCTTACAAGACAGGACCTGAAAATTTCCTTTCTGTTGCAGCAGGTGTCCCCTATGCACCAATCAGGCTATTTAAAGTCCCCTCATCCCTTGTTTGCCTGAAGTGTCCTACTCCTGTAACCAACCCAGTACATCAGAGTGAAATGTTGAATGATTGGGGTTTTCATAATCTTTGGCTTCTTTCATTATTAACTAATACAAATGATTGAATAGACTGAACACACACAGATTGTTATTGGCCCTTGCTGGAGACCAGATACAAAAATAATTATGCACTTGCAGGTGACTGTCAGTATTAATTTGCCTAAATGAAGTATTTCACAAGTTACACTATTGAGCAAGCACTGAATAGTTTGCTACTGTAGTGAAAAACATTTAGTACCTTTAGATCCATAAGAATGTCCTACAAGAATGGGAAGCTGAGCCAAACAGTCAAAAGCCAAACAGAATGTAGCAAGCTGTAGCTGAAGAGGCAGAATAGTTGCTTAGCATAAAGTACATCCTGGGATCAGGACATTTTGTGAGGGTTTTTGGGTTTGGGTTTTTTTTTTTTTTTCATTCCTGGCTTTCATTATCCCTCAGGTGTATTACACTCTTACACAGAAATGCATGTCAATTCTTTCTGAGTGTGTGGGAGAGAAAAAATGTCTTGGAGATAGAGGGAGAAAGGAGATTATCCCTTCTCTTGAACAAAGTCTGTGTGTGCTTTTATTTTGTGAGCTGTCCTTTAGGAGAAGTGAAAAGAGTTGCCACTGAATCAGTGAAAGAACAAGTGAGGAACAAAGTGTGAAGGAACAAAGGAGTTTAGAGATGTTTATATACGAAGGGGTGAATCTTGGGAATAAAATAAATCTTTGGCCCTAAACAGAGTCTGTACCACACCAGGGAATGGCAAAGGGATGCGCTTTTGGACCGTGGATTCAGATTTGACTGCTAGTGAGTATGAAGTTGTGTGGATGACAGACAGATAAGGAAATGGATGTCTTTCCTCAATTTGTGCTTACTGAGATGCCTGTGTTCTCTAAAAGGCAGGTTTTCACACCTGGGTTCCTCATGGGACAGTTCCTGAGAGGGTTGCACTGCACCGTGCTGGAGGAGAAGGGAGGAAAAGTTGCTGGTGGTGTCTCTGTGTGTCCATACATATGCACAAAAACACACTAATTAATAAAGAGGTATCTGGGGCCAGGGATGTGATGCACAAAGAGAATTGGTGTGCAGGTCTGACTCCTACTGAGCTTCATAAATCTGTTTCCCTGCTGATAATCTTGCTTGTACTGTATTCCCACAGAGAGCAGGACTTCCTTGTTCTCATATCTGAAATCTACGCAAGAGAAACACTCCCACTTAGAGAGAAGACTCACACGGGGTTCTGTTGAAGGAGAAAACTTCACTTCCATTCTCCCCCTGCTATGCAGACAGATTTGGACACTTTCAGACACGTTGACACTCTCCAAGCCAGGAGCTGCTGCCAAACATGTTTTTCCGCACCCCACGTAACACCTGTAATGGAAAAGAAGACTTTAAGGAAAAAGTAACAATAGAACACAGGAGAGAAAAAAGCAGAGTATGAGTACTGGCTGTCTTATTAACTATGTCCTAAGCAAGCCCACATCAGCCTGTATTAAACCCCTTCTGTGTAAGGACCTCTATGACCCCTCTCCCTCTGCCCCACATTCTGCTAGAACATCCCATGTCACCCTTTTTGGCACATCCAAAGGACCAAACATCACATCTGTCACCTTAAGTCAAGAGACAGTGGAGGACTTTTATCCACTCCTACCAGCCAGGGAACCACAGCCCTCCTTTGTAAGGATTATCTGGCATCACAGAAAGCCCAATTAGTACAGATTGTTTAGCATCACACAGAGCAACATGCAAAAAGAAGAGAGACTGTCCAGAGTGGAACACAAAGAATCACCACGGGAAAGAAGACCTAACAAAACTAGCTAAGACTGAACTAAATTATCTTATTAATTATTTTTGGCTTCACATAGGAGAATGCCAAATATAGATTATTAAACTGAGAGGGGATCTCATTAAGTCATATATGTATCTCAGAAGTGGGTGCCACGAGGATGGGGCCAGACTCTTTTCAGCAGTGCCCAGTGTCAGGACAAGGAGCAATGTCCATAAACGAAAGAACCAGAAATTCCAGCTCAACACAAGGAAGAGCTGGAATTGAGGGTGGCAGAGCACTGGAACAGGCTGCCGAGGGAGGTAATGGAATCTCCCTCTCTGGAGACATTCAGAACCCACCTGGATGCATTCCTGTGTAAACTGCTCTAGGTGCTTCTACTTCAGCAGGGGGGGTCTCCAGAGGTCCTGTCCAATCTTAACAATTCTGTGACTACAATATGTCATTTATTAAATATAATTAAATAATAATAGTTAATCATTAATTAATTGATAATTAGTAATTAATAAAATCAATTATCACTTGTAATATATAATACTAATTAATTAATAATAGTTTTATTAAACATAATAACTAATATTGTTATGGGAAACAACAAAACACTTCCAAAAGTATCCCTGCAAGACGTATTTCAGTATTTACTGCAGGACTGCCACCTCTATGCGGTATCTTCTTTTTTTTGTTTCCCCTCAGGAGAAAAAAAAAAAAAAAAAGGTGAATTGCTTGTGTATCACACATGTTTGTAAACGGCTCTGGGAGCGTCTTCTTGGGCGGGAGCGAAGCCGCGCTCCGGTCTCAGAAAAAAATATTTGAGCGTCTCCTTCGAGCCGGAATCGAACCAGCGACCTAAGGATTCCCGCGGGGCGCGGCCTCTACAGTCCTCCGCTCTACCAGCTGAGCTATCGAAGGGACCTGGCGGCCGCCCCCCAGCGGCGGCAGAAGGCACCGCCCAGCCCCGCCCCGCCGCGCACACTCCCGGCCGGGGGCGGGAATAAGCCGGGCCTGGGCTGAGGGGTCGGCGAATGGCGGAATGGAATGGCCAAACTCCGACTTCCAATGCGGAGAGTGGAGCTTTGACTCCTGCCGGGGCTGTGTGTTCTTCTGCATACAAATATGCGTCGAGAAGCAAAAGCAGGGCCCTTCACATCAACACACACACATCGCTTCCGAGTGTTAGCAGCACCCGTGAGCTAGCGCAGTTATTTATCATACCCCCGTGAACCACTTCTTTTGGGACACTGGAATCCACACATTGCTGCGTCCAGTTCCACCGGCCTCAGCACAGGAAAGACGTGGAGCTGATGGAGCAAGTCCAGAGGAGGGACACAAAGTGATCAGAGGGTAGGAACAACTCCTGTGAAGTCGGGCGAAGAGAATTCTGGTTGTTCAGCCTGGAGATGGCTCCCGGGAGACCTCAGAGCACTTTCCAGTACCTAAAGGAGCTCCAACAGAGCTGAAGAGGGACTTTCTCTATGGGCATGTAGGTACAGGACAAGGGGTAATGGCTTTGAACTGAAAGGGTAGGCTCAGACTGGATATAAGAAGACATTTTTTACAGTGGGTTTCATGAAAACACTGGAAGAGGTTGCCCAGAAAGGTGGTGAGTGTCCCCTCCCTGAAAACATCCATGGTCTGGGCCTCTGAGCAACCTGATTGAGTTGAAGATATCCAGTGTGCCTGCTCATTGCAGGAATGTTGGAAGTAGGTGGCCTTTAAAGGTCCCTTTCAACCCAAACCATTCTATGATTTAATAACTGGCTACTCTGAAGCTATGGTGTGCTCTCAAATCTGAACATTGGAAATGCCTTCCTTGCAAGCTCTTCTTTATACACTGCACAGCCTTTATGTAAATGAAAAATGTTTGGGTATTGTTGCAAAATCACACACTTTTCATGCAACTACACAACACAGATGTTCTTGCTTTTCTGAAGGCTAAGGGCTAATTAGAATGTAAACAACATTCCTAATCACAGCAGGGTTGCTTGCTGCCTTCAGAGACCTCCTGGTTGTTTTCTTTGTTGTCACCTGTGAGAGCAACCACAGAATGTCAGGACAATGTGGAGTATACTGCTCCTCTCCCAGGGCCAGAAGGTTTCTCCCCAATGCAATGTAATAGTGTGTTAATCAGGCTAATTTGGGGAAAAAAATTGAAAAATTTAAGCTTATAGTGGTGTTTTGCTTTGGAAAACACAGCACTACCAGGCAGACACATGGGGTTAAATCACAGGATTTTAAAGAAGGGACCTTACAGATCCTTCGGTCCTAACCCACCTGTCGGGTCAGGGACACCTCCCACCAAGACGTGCTTGCCTTGTTCAGGCTTTATCAGGCCTTGCTCAAGGCCTAATCCCGCCTCGTCCTGAACACTGCCAGAGCTGGGAGCCCCACAGCCTCCCTGGGAAACCTGCTGCCGTATCACCTGCAAGGAATTTCTTCCTCATCTCTAATCTAAACTTCCCCTCTCATTTTGTACCAGTTACCCCTTTGTCCTGTCACTCCAGTTCCCGACGAGGTCAGGATGATGAGATCAGATGAGAAAATTAAGAGAAAACAGCCATGTAAGAAGACAGGATGGTGAGATCAGATGGAAAACCGGGACCCCTTCAACGCGCGATCACGGCCGAGAACAGAAAAAACAAATGCGAGCCAGGCAGGAGTCGAACCTACAATCTTCTGATCCGTAGTCAGACGCGTTATCCATTGCGCCACTGGCCCGGCACATGGAGGTCTCTTTCCCGCTCTTCTCTATAGGCGAGAGCGCGGGCCCCGCGCGATCCCCACACCTCGCGTCCCCTCAGGGCCCGGGTCCCGCCCCGCCCTTCCGGCAGGGGGCGCTCCCGGAGCTCCCGCCCTGCCTCGCGACCGCCGTAAGGCCCGCCCACAGGCACTGCGTGCTACGCATGCGCCAGGCGAGCTGGCTGCGGCCTTGTGGCACGGCGCCGCGGTGACTGGCAGGTCCCTTCGATAGCTCAGCTGGTAGAGCGGAGGACTGTAGAGGCCACGCCCCACGGGAATCCTTAGGTCGCTGGTTCGATTCCGGCTCGAAGGAGACGCTCAATTTTTTTTCTATGCAAAGAGCTTTTTAACAATTGTCTTTTTAGCTTTTCGGAGGTACGGTTGCTTTTCAAGAAGAGTTCCAGCCGCATTGCAAACCGAGCCTGTGTGCTGTGTCTCACTCTCAGGAGAGACTGTTCCTTGCAGGAGCAGAGAATGCTGGGCCTAATGCAGGACTGCCAACATCTCCTTAATTTCTAAAGGAAAACGAGATGTGTGTTCATACTCCAGCATGCCACAAAGCAAGTCAGTGCAGGAGGATACCGGCTGAGATCCCTTTGTCTCATCGCAGTTAATTAGAATGTTGAAATTCTGAGGGTCATTTTTCCAAGTCTCCTCTCCTCTCTTCCAAATGTCTAGACACTGTTTTTACAGCAGAAGGCTGTACATACTGCCACAAAAGGAATATATTTTTTTATCCAGCCAACTGAAGTGTTCAAGTCCAGGCTGGACAGGACACATCCCTGCCCACGGCTGGGGCTTAGAACTGAATGATATTTAAGGTCCCTTCCTACCCAACTCATTCTAAGATTAGCATGTATTGACTCTGTCCCATAATCGAAAATTCTGTGTCCTTACTGGGGTCTATCTATTACAGGTCTCAGCTACCACACAGTTGTCCTGTCTTACTGCCTTCCCAACCCCTGGGGAGGATGAAACTGGCACTAAGCACTGAATCCTCTTGTACAAAACTCTGTACCCATTCATCTCTCAAAGTACAAGGAGAAGTCAGATGTGATGAATGAGCTGACTTCAGTTTGTGGAGAGCAGAAAGGGGGTTATGGTCATCTGTAGCCCTTGTCCCTGGTTCGTCACAGCACACTCTTTTCTCTTCTACAGGAAATGATAACATAGAAAAGATAAAATCAATAATTTTAACTGTGTTCAGTTTAGCATGCTTCTTCAATTATTTTTAATTATTTTATTCTACAAAGAGGCAGAGATTAAATTCTTTTTGACTGAAATCTTATCAGTATCCATTCTTATACAAGGAAGGCAAGCAACTTAAGTGACATTCGATTATGTTTGAAGTTTTTTGTATTAAGCATTGTGGCTTATACCACAAAGTCCTTGTGGGAATTAAAAGTGCACAAACTACCTAAATAACTAGTTATATGGTGGTATACCTAATTTGTGTATGCTGCCTCTTCTGTTTGGTGTTTTGAGTTCATCTGGGTATATGCTCATATCTAAGCACACAAAGGAACAGATCTTTGAGAATACATATGGCTAAAACAGCTGCCCCTTGTCCATTTTTCAAATGCTTGGGCTTTTGTGGTCACAGAGACTGGATACCAACCTAGTGACAAGTATTCCTGTCTTGCAGCATGCCCAGATTATCTGGCACTCTGTGCTGGCTCTTGAACAGATGCAAAACCCCAGAGTGAGGTGCTGGATGTCTCAGGATGTCTGCTGTTGTCCTCAGCAGTGCCATGGTTCCACTCTCTGCACACACTTTTTGCTGGGGGAAATTGTTCCATATAGACGCTGATTCCAGTGAAACTACTGTGTTACATCACTTCGTCACACTGATGATTTCTTTTACAAGCATTCTGCATTAAATAAAGGACTTAAAATGTGAGACCATGGCTCACATGGCTGCTTTGCATGGGCAGGCATATCTGCTGCAATCCAAGAGCTAGTTCCTCTTCGGGGAAACCCTGAGTTGTCATTTGACACTTGCCAGGGAGCAAAGCCATAACTTGGGACAGCTGTCTTAACAGCTTCTCTAGCTGTTACTGGAATGAAGTTGTTGATAGTGTGGTAAGGTAAAGGGAATGCTACAATTCATACATACAACCTTTATTAGTCAGAATGATTGATAGCCAAGGTAGATTTGAATACATGAAAGTTTAAATATAAATAAATGTAGCAAAACAGAGAAAAAATTGACACTCTGTACATTTTGAGAAGATTTTTGGGTTTGCAACTGAACTGTACACAAAAGCAGATAATGTTTGTATGTGTTCATGTTAGGAACTTTTCTGAAAAGCAAACAAAGGAATAAAATCACATAGAAGTGCTAAATCCTGAAATCCTTTTGTCATTCTATCTCCACATGTCCTCAGAATATCTGATCTTCACATCAATGAGATACACAAATGCTCTGGTATTTAAAAACTAAGTTGCCCATTTGAAATTAAACCATGACTTCAGACACTCTTTAAGCTGCATGTCCTGGACAACCCCTTCAGAGGCTTGGTCACTGGTTTGTTCTGAGATTTTTTGCTAACTGACATGCTAACTAATGCGTTGTGGCTCTTCTGTACAGAACCCTGTGTCTATAAAACATGTAGCAGCTTGTCTATCTTTGCTTCACACTGTGAGATCAAGTCATAAATCTTTCCCATGAAAAAGCTCCCATTTAGAAAGTGTAAATAAGAACCACATGACTTGCAGTACCTCTCAAGCCCATGGAGAAAATTTCCTTAATTTTGGTGAACTTTGGCTGTTGCCCTCTAGACCCATCAGAAGTGTTGCATGTGAAAGAATTTCCCAATTCCTTTTGCTATTATGGGATTTACTTCTTCCTCCCTGGCTTTAGGCCTGCTCTGTAGCTGTTGTTGAAATCAAGGGTACAATTCCCAGTAACTTCCATGGGAAAAGGAGGATGGATTTCACATGGGGAAGGATTCCATGTATAAAACATAGCTTTACACCAGACTTTTCTCCCAGTGCCTCTTTCAGCTCTCTGCTGGAAATAGTCACTAGGTAACATTTAGACATTTTCACACTAAATTTCTCTACCAGACAGTGAAACTTAGGAAATTACTTCACCTGCAGATTTGTTATGTACTATGTGCTCTCCCTACTCCTTCACTGGGGATAACATCCTACACCAGAACAAACACCCTGAAAAGGGGAATAGTGAAGAAAGGCAAAAGAAAGCCAAAAGAGGAGCATGTGTGGTGGTGTCCACAGCACATACCCAGTCTCTGGGCTCTGCCCCTCTGACAGCACCCCAGTGCTGTCTGATCCATCCCCCTGATGGGAAGATGTTCAGCACTTGGCTTCCACTGGAAGTTATAACTGGGGTTATGTCTTCTCAGTGCCAGGATGGTGGCACCAGTCTCTCTCTCCTGGCACCACTGGGTTGGATGGGCACATCCTCAGTGGCAGGTAAGAAGGCAGTCTGGAATTATGTACATACACATGGTTTCCAAAATCATTGCAACTGAGGACAAAGAGAAGCCTGTGGGTAGGAGCAAAATGAGTGCCTGTGCACAACTCTAGCCATGCCAGTGTCTTCCCTCTTTTCTGAAGCAGAAAACCAGGGCCATTTCTGAGGGCAATGTGATGGCCTTCCCCAGTGCCTGCATCCAGAGAACAGATATGTAACTTGAACAGGAAGTAATGGTCTTGAAAATATCCTTGTGTTATGGGACTTTTAAAGAAACATTGAAAGTAGTATGTCTTGACTTTGGTGTTACAGCTGGTTCTATAAAACACATTCTTTTCCCAGTATATTTAGCTGAATGACATTCGATGTCAAAGGTGAGAATAGAAGGTAGATAACAATGTTTTACAACTGTGGGATCCAATTTTAAGCAAGGGAACAACACTTTCATCTAGTTATATATTCACAAGTCTGTATAATTTAGTGGAACATTGTGACCCCCTTTAGACCAGAGCATGCAAAAATAGCCAATATACAGAACTGACAATGATTGATGTAAAGTGATCAATAAGGAGAAATTCAGCTGCCTCAGGCTTAAACTACTATGTCAAATCAGTGAGGTGCTAAGATTAAGATCTAAGAGGTATTCCTTTAGCTCTTACAAATTAGTGGCCTAAGTTCTTCATGCTACCTTCAGCCATACCCACATGTATCTCCACTGATTTGTGCAGTAGTATATGTGAACATACACCCCATTCTTGCCTCTTTATTTAAAATCATGCCATGTGCTCTTAAAGCTCCTGTGCATGTCAGGAGGTTTCAGTCTTACCCCAGTGAGCTGGTGAGGAGGACCATCACTCCTTTGCTGCTTGCTTTCCCTGCCAAGTCCTTGCTGCTCCCACAGCCCCAGCGCCTGTGCCGGGGTGCTGGCTCCCAGCCCAGCGCCAGCAGGGCAGCAGGGCCAAAAGCCAAGGGCATGGTGGGGATAAGCCAGTTGGCAGAAAGCTGTTGGCTGGGAACCAAAAGGAGGAGCTCTGCCACAGGCCTGTGGGAGGAGGAGACTCTGGGACAGCCCAGGGTTTGTCCCGTGGGTTAGCAGCTTTTGCTGGGGAAGACAGAGAGTCTATATGTGCTTCTGCACAAGGCTCCTGGATTTGGAGTGACCTGCACTGTAACAACCATCAGAAAAATCTCTCTTTGTCTTGGCTCAGGATTTATAATTGCCAGAGCTGGGTCCCAGCAAGCCACTAGCTGTCCTCCAAAGAGCACTTCTTCTCTGGGAAGGAGACCCCCATCTGTCTTGCTAACAACTTTCCCCCAGAGACCTGCTAAAGAGCACTTCTGGGGCTCCCTCACAGGAATCTTTCATATCCAGCAAAACTGTTGTGTGCAGGGAAAGTTCCTGGGGTAGGGAGAGACAGCCAGTGTGTCCATAAAGAGACTCAAGACTGTGTCTGGGAGGTGAAACTACAGATGCAGGCAGGGAGAAGACCAGCTATCCCAAAGTGAACATTATTAGAGGGAAAGACAATCTGAAGCTGTGAGAGACCTGCATGCTCTGTACAGGCCATGGTATCTCCATACACAGTGCAGGTATCAACCTATTGGAAGTAGCATAGAGTGAGATTCTGCCTTGGTAGGAAATTACTCTCAGGTTGCTCTTGATTAGCTTAAAGACAGCTATAAACACAGGCTGCAGAACTTATCACATGTTTTTCTCACTGTGAGACTCAGTGAGAAGCCCCAGCAGGTCCCTTGCCTGCCCTAGGACTCTGTGTGATAGCTCCGATGGCTGTCCCCAATCAGTTGTGTCTTCTCAGTGACGTTAGTCGGCTGTAGCGTAATAGGAGTTTCTCCATCTAAATTGGAGAGAACAACAAAGATTACTTTAAGAACTCTTCACTTGCTACCAAAGTCAGATTTCTTGTTAGCACCACAACATTTCATTTGCTGCTCTGGTTACAGCTTAATGTGGTTTAGCAGACAGCTGTGTGGGTACCAACAAGGTGACATTGCACACACCAAGCCTACAAATGCTCTTACTCCTAGTTCTCATACATTGGAAGATTTCTGGGTGTTGCTGCTGCTGTTAGACTGTACATTTGCTGTGCCTGGTGCTTTACAGAGCTTGCAGGCTAAAGGTTCCTGCCTGTTCTAATAGCAAGTGCTTGTTCCTACAAATGGCTGAATATAATCAGTGCTGTTGTGAGTCAGCAAGCACTAACCTTGACAGTGTTTGTGAGAAAGCAATGAGTTTTGAAGAAGGCAGAGATAACAGTAAAGAAAGAGGAGAGTTAAATGGAAAAAAAATGCGTGAACAGTAATAGTAATGCACTTGAGATGAGAGAAATCATTATATCCTGAAAGCCAGCTAGGTAAATAAAAATGTTAAATTGAATTTGAAGTCTTATGCAATGTATATGCAATAGGACTCTGGGAATTACTCTTTCAATGAATTTGGAACTACCAAAACTTCGTATTATCACTATATAAATTCTTACTGCTGTGTACTTTCTCACTCTGTGCAATTTTGTGTTTGCTTTTCCAATATATCTATAAAAAATGCATTTGTAGTAGAGTGGAGGAAAGTAGAAGTGAAGTATTTACAGAGTTCCTTGATGGCTACTGTGCTCCATCTGATAAAGAACAAGGTTTGGTTGCCCTTCTCCTGGGCCTCTTTCCAACTGGCATATTTTTTGGAGGGAGGGAAGTACTCAGGTCTCAGAGAGTGACTTTTACAAGTTCAGCCATCTTAGTTAAGTGTTTCCTATGAAAAACTTTGGACTGTCTATATCTTGATACTAACAGAGTCTTCACAGTATTTGAATACAAAATATGACTTTTTTTTGCCAAATGACCAAATGTTCAGGGAAGAAATCTCATCTGACATTTCCTTCTATTTACATGACAGTTGATGGGATGAATCATGGGCAAAAGATGTAATGTACAGGAGTAACTTAACCCAGAGCAGGAATCTAATTGCATGCCATACGGCTTCCACTCAGTGGGGGTAGAACAACTTTGACTCTGTCAAGGTGAAAGGCAAGAATGATTAAATACCAAGCAGCTTCTCTGTATGGGCAATTCCATATTTAGACACAAGGTCAAAAACAAACGTGTTTCATAACTTCTAAAAGTATATGAGTAATTAATGCTTTGAGCTCAGCTCAGGCTCATATTAGTTCGGCAGTTCCAATCCATTTTTAAGTTGCTATGTGTTTTCTAGATTTCTGAGCAGCATTCCCTCCCACCCACTTCTGCCTCCAAGTTGTTCATTTTCTGAAAGATTGTTGATGGAGGGCAGAGATTAGCAGTTCATTTTGCTGTGATACCCAGGTGTGCAACAGGAGAACAGGACCCACTGCAAATCTGTCGTGTTGCCTCCGGCTTGTCTGCAGACAGCTCTTAGCTGACACCCTCACCAAGCATTTTGCTGCTTGTACCCTTCTAAGATTTATTATAGGGTTTTTTAGCAGAACAGGGACCCATGGCATAATAAACTGTACAAATATAGTCTGCTAATGGCAAGCTGCAGAATTGAGGTGAGGCAGAATTCACAGTTTAAACTGCTTTCTATAGATAGCTCCTGCTCACTGTTCGCCTACAGTTGTATCATATGGAGTGTGGAGGAGACAATGAAGTGATAAAAACTTATTGCTTCTGAGTTAGAAAAGTATTTTTCTACTCAGTTTCTTTTATTCTTTTTCTTTTTTTCTCTCCCAGAATTCATTTTCTGTAAAATAAAAGTTGGTCTAGAAATGCCTTGCTTTGTTCTTAAAATGATGACTGAACAGGAGAGAACAGACCTGCCAAACTGCTTTGAGTGCATCATTACAGCCTGAAGTACAAAGGCAATCCAAATTCCAATGCCACCTCCTCCAGGAACACGAAAGTTAACAAAAATTTTGCCATCAACTTCAGTGGAAGTAAAATCTGTCAACCTGCCCCATGTGTGTGGGAAAGTGATGAAGTGTTGCACGTGTCTGTGCTGCAGACAAGCAAGTGATATTTCCCTCTGCTAGTGCATTTTGATAGGTTACCTGTAACATCATGGCATCATACCGCAGTTATCTTATTTTGCACCTTTCTAATGTCATGTTTGATCTGAAACACTAAAAAATGTCATATTTAAAATGTAATAGCCCAAACATAACTTTTAATTTTTGGTCTTCTGCTCTATATTAGGTCAGAGTCTTCTGGTACAAATCAATAGTTATGAGGAGAAATCCTTGTAAGTTAAGTTTGTGCCAGGGCTTGCAAACCCCTAGTTTCCTTCATCTTACCCCTGGAAGTACATGCTGTAAAATGAGGCTATCAAGGGCAACAGACATTGAACTAGCCGAGCACTAGAACTAGTGACATTTATTTAACCAAAACCTTCTTCTAGAGGATTGTAATTCCCTTAGAAAGTCTCTTTTTCTAGAGAAATAACAAGTCAACAGAATTGAAGCCTTTGGCATGATTGTGTTGATTTCAGTGATAACTCAGTTTGCTCTTACATTTTAGGGATGGATCACTGAATCTTTGGCCTCACACCTCTTTCTTTTTCACTAATAATTATGTTTTATGGTATTTTAGTCTAAGGAATGAAATCCACTGTGTAAAACCTTAATTTTGTTAATGAGTCATGTGAAGAACTGAAAAATTATTATAGTTGTGTCAGTTGGATAGTTGAAATCTAAATCTCAACTCTTTTTGGCGGTACATCCAGCAGCAGGCAGCTCCCACTGAGCACTACTGCTAAGGGCTCAGTCTCAGAGGTTTGTAGCATCAGGAATTGTGATACTTTATCAATGATGCATTCCTCAGAAAGGCAGTGACTGATTAAAAAATATTTGGATAGTTTTTAGTGTGGCCTTAGCTTGAAAAATCTAAATTTTTACCTCAGTGAGAAGTTCTGGTTAGCAATACTGTAGATGCTGGGGACAGCAGGAAGCAAAGAAATTAATTACTGGCTGGAATGCTCAGTCTGTGCTCAGAGGGCATGCAAAGAACTTGGATCCTAATAGAATCTCCTCTTCCAAAATTAAATCTGCTGCACAAGTGATTCAGAATTACACAGTTTGTTTCTGAATTACATACAGGAGCATTTTTATTATTTACCTAAAGGAAGGCATGAGTATTAATTTCTATGGCTCAACATTCAAAAATGCACAGTCTTTGCTATTCTAAAAGTCAGCTGTGTCTTTCTGGCCAGCATGCCTGAAGTTGGGGTGACAAGGGAAGAAGGAAGGGAGGAATCACACTTTGATCTGGTTGTTTTTCCTTTTTTTTTTTTTTTTTTTTTTTTCCTAAATGCATTGTCTGTTTTCCTTTCAGCTGCAGAAAAGATGCTCATGTTACTCTTTGTCATAAAGCTTTTCATTTTTATTCTTTATATGTTAATCTCTTTAAAAATACAGAGAATTCTGCTTTACTGAGAATTGCTGGTTTTGATTAGGAGGAAAATATAGCAAGACTGAAGAGGAGAGTGGGAAAGGTATAAAGATCTAGTTTTCTTCAGACCCTACCTATGTATTTAATATTGTCTTCCAAATACTTAAAGCATAGAATTACATATTATGTTAATTTTTCAGACTGGTACTTTGCTAAGCATTTAAAATTATTTTTTAAAATTGGTCTCAGTGGGACTTGGTGGGAGTAAAGGGATGTAAAGGGGGCCTAAAATTAAAGAATCCCAATACCTTCTGGTACCTGTGCCAGATGGAAAGAGCAATTATTTTTCTGCCAGTGGGGAATTTTGTTTTGTATTTTGAGGGAGAATTAAAATAAATATAAACCAAATTAAAAATAAACAGATGAAGAAAGTGTGCAGAAATTAAACATTGTGATTCTTCAAAGTTCTGTCCTTCTACTTTAGACTTGGCTTTGGTATTTTAGACTCATGAAGAGCAAGACCCTTTTTAGATTTGCACTTTTCAGGTGCCTAATGTTGTAGAGTTTATTAGATTTGTCTCAGATAAGGTATTGTGGTTATGAAGTTTTCACTAGTAGCTTTTATTGTCTTTGCAGAGACTGATTAAGTATGATCAAATTTTAAGCTGACTGTTTACCTTGATATGCCTCTAGGCAAAATCAGTTTAAAAACACCACCACACATTGGTGTAACAGTTATAAAAATAGCATTTGTTTCAACTACTACAAGTGTTTTGTTACATATTTATGGAAGGGTAAATTTGTGTGAAAAGTTGGGGGGGGAAAATTTCTTACTGCTAAGGGAACATGACATTTGCAATCTGGCACTGCTATTTTAAGCACAATAAACATAAGAATATAACAGTATAAGATGTTCCATAACAATGGAAAAGAGTGAGCTGACTTCTTAGGTCCTTCCTCATAAAAAAACCCTGTAATCTTAAACATAGTTTATATAAATTTGCAGCTGAAAAGTGTCCTCAGTCCTTCCCTGGTACCTTGGGTTCTTATTGCTGGAGCAAGGGTCACTGCATCTCTCACCCTGTACATATCTATCCAGTTTGAGTAGTTTCTACTTCCCCTGAATATGAAAGCAAAACACCCCTCTTCAGCACACTAGGACAGGACTCTGTTCAGAGCATGTATCCCATTATCCCACATGTATCACAAGTGCCAAATTAGGAAATCACCTCCATCATCCCTCGGCATAGCTAAAACCTGAACGTGCAGTTGGGGGAATGCAGCAAAGCCAAAAGAAAGAGGCTGACCTGCTGTGAAGGTCATTCTGCTGCCACAGGCCCATGTTCCTGGCTCCTAAGTTCCTGTTCCTCTTGCCCCTAAATTAGCACTTGCCTGCTCCACCATGAAGCACACCAGAGAATTAAATGGTCCAGGAACTACAGACATTTTTGAGAGGATTTGTTTACACCTGGATTTTATCCAAGGCTTGAGTAAGGTAGCACTGCTACTGCAGAAGAGAGTGAGAAGCTTGGGAGCTGGATGGGAGAGGGACAGAACCATGGTAGCTCCCATGCATACTCTCCTGTGTTACTGCACAACCTTACTGTTGGAAACTTGGCATCTTTTCTTGAACCTTTCTTTTGAATGGGTACAATTTCCACCACAGGCAGGGAAAAGTTTTACAGAACGAAAGTCTGAATGACAGCTTATTCAGGCCAATTAGATGTGACAGGCACCAGTCCAGCAGAGCCTAATGTATGAGTATAGGATCTAGGATATGAAGGAATGCGGGCATGGGGGCTACAGAGTGGACACTGTCCCTTAAAATGAGCCCTAAGAATTTTATTGTGTAAGTGTCTCATAAGAGATATAGGAGATGTTTAGTTTTAAGTGCCCTAAGTTTGGTTTTGCATTAATACATAATTTGGGAAGTTCACTGGGTTGTGGTCTTAGCTAGAGTGACTTGGCATGTCTCCACTGAAGTCTGGAGGCAGCCTCAGCATTGTGAGCAGAACATCTGGACTACAGGCTTTAAAGACTGATTGGAACAGCTTTGCCCCTACAATACACACCTCTTTCCATGTCGTTCTTAATTTGCTCTTCCAAATCTTCTGGAGACACAAAAAACTCCTGCTGTTCCCCCTCGGGTGCCTTTGGTTTACACTTTCCACAGCAGCAGTTGAAGCAGCAGCAGAGGCAGCAGCAGAGGTAGCAGCCAGTCAGCAAACCACAGACTGCAAACAGGCCCTGGGTTAAACACAGCAGGATGAAAGTCCTGTCAGCAGTGACCTTCCCCAAACTTGTGGCTGTCTCTTACAGCTGAAGGCAGAATGTCAGAGGAGCTCTGGTTCCCAAGTGCTTGGCACTCAGAGGAATCCACCTGCTGTCCCAGTGCCTAAATGAGGGCCAGATGTTCCAAAGCCCTCCTCACCCACCAGCTCCTATTTGTCACTAAGGACCAAATCCACAAAGAAGACACCAACCAACAGGCTCCCACATGCTCAACATTTGAAAGTTTGTTGTTCTGCTGATGGCCCTCAGAAAAACCCTCCAGGCAGTATGCAAAACCCCACCCACCTTAACATGACTCATTTCCATCTTTAAAATGACTCATTTGCCCAAGATCATTTTTGCAAACACTTATTTACTGGCAAACTCTTGTCAATAACAAAACTGAGAGAAAAAGAAGCAAAGACCCAGATGCATCCCACATAATTTTGGGCACTGAAATAAGGCATCCAGTTTAGGACTGGATGTAGCTGCTATGGACTCCCCACACAGTCAAAGAGAAGTTAAAAGGTCTTCCAGGGGGAGATTCAGCCATAAGAGTATTTGAATTGCCCATTGTGGGTCTCTCTCTCTCTCTCTCTCCCCATTAGCCTGTGCAGGACCACACAGGTGACATCTCCTAAATTATAGTCCTCAGACTATGGTTTCTTGATCTGAGGACTCAGATGGCAAGATGTTCCCACCTTTGATCACTCTTGTCCCCATGGCACAAAGCATTGAGGATTCAGGAGAGCCAACACAATTGCCTGGGGCCAAGACCAGAGATCTTAGTAAGAGTCAAGAGACAGAAAATTTAAATTTACAGAGATTTCTTTCTTCAGATGAAGTCAGTGCCTGGGTTCACAGCACAGCTCCCCAGATGTTCAAGTGTGTGCTGCATCACAGCAATGGCCATGTAGGAGGGGAGCCTTTAGGCTGGCACTGCCAGTCTGTGCTCCACGGGGATGTGACAGCAGCCTGGCTCCTGACCTAAGGTACATCCAGGACTATATGGAGATGTTTGTGATACAGAAGAAATCTCCATGGACATCTCTTCATGGACATAATGGTATAAGAGCAAAGGAAAACCTGTGACATTCCTGGAAAACAAATCAAAGCTGATATGTAGAAATAAATGGAAAGAGGGTGGATTTAGATTAGTTATTAGGAAGTAATTCTTCATTGTGAGGGTGATGAGGCACTGGAACAGGTTTTCATGAGAAGTTATGAGTGCCCCATCACTGGAGGTGTTGAAGACCATGTTGAATCCATCCCTGAGCAACCTGGTCTAGTGGGAAGTCTCTCTTCACACGGCAGGGGGCTGTAACTGGATGATCTTTAAGGTCCCTTCCAAACCAAACCCTTCTATGATTCTCTGAATGTGTGGGTAAAAGCAGCAGAGCTTTGTGGCTACCATATATATTTAGGTTGGAGGTACAGCCAGGCTTTAGCATTATAGTTTTCCAGTCTGCCCTTTGCTAAGTATTTATGTTCCTAAGACAATATGCTGCTTGGGGAAGAAAGTAAACACAAATGTTAGGATATTGTCAAACTTAGACAATGGAACTATGCAAAAATATTATATATGCATGTTTGAGCTAACATTACTGGGGGCTGGCTGGAGCATCTTTGAAGGTAATAAGACTATTTATATGCCTAATATTAATATAAGCATGTATCTAGAGTGAGCAAGGTGATTTTAAATGAAAAGGACTCCGACTTTTTGTCATAAAATGCTTTCCTTCTAATGGACACCTGAAATAGTGCCATAATTCCCAAAATAAGTTATCTGACTGTTTATCATTTATGCCATAATGGAGAATAAATCACCACAATGTATAGGATGAAAAAAAAACCCAGAATGAACATGTGTAGAGGGGAAAACACATTGGGTTTATCCATGATACCTTTAATGTTTCAAGATTTCTTGTGCTTATACTATCACAGTTGTTAAATCAAAAATCAGTTTATTGATGTTATCATAAAATAGAACTGTCTTCATGGTAGAGGGTGAATTGGTTTTTGCTAAAACAGTTAAACAAATAACCTCTCTATGCCTGCCAATGGAGAAGCAATTTGAGTTCCCATTACCCATATCTTTATATTCCCAGTTTAGTATGCCTGCTAAAAAGTCTAGCACTCTGAAAAAGAGCAGTAATTTTCATTTTTCATTTCTCCTTTCATTCGAGTTTCCTTACTGCTAATGATAAAACTCCTCACAACTGTCAGATTTTCCCAGTATGAGTGTGCTGGGAAGAGGAATGTTTGCAGTCAATGAGGAAGATAACAAGCCAAGGCAGTGGTCCCTACTGTCCTCCACAAGAATGGAGAAAATCAGGAGTCCAGAGGTCATCTGCAGATGATGCCTCAGACTCAAATAGTATCATGATGACCAATATAAAAATTTCAAATTGATCTAGCATTTGTGCATGAGATAAAAACAAATGAGAAATAGTGAGAGCTCATCTTGCAAAAAAATCAACCAAACAAATTAAACCACTTGGTAACCTCTTTATACTTTGCGGTTGCCAGGATTTTGGGTTGGGGGAGACATAGAGAGACCACCTCTGATAGTCCTCAAATGACTTTATATACATATTTTGTATTTTTTTATACAAAATTCCTGAAAACCAGGAAGTGATTACTTTGCTCTTCAGCATGTCTTGTCTCACCTCTGGGATACAGCTTGCTTGAAGCAATCCTCACATTTCTCCTTTAGTTGTTAGGGACTTATGAGCTTGTCTCTGTACTCCCCACTGCTCTCTTTATGAGTCAAAGCCACATTGGTTATTTCTGTACCTGATTTTATGACCCCAGAAGATTTTATACTCCATAAAATCCCCATTAAAGATCACCAAATAAAAGAAAAATAGAATTTAAAAAAATAAAACTGTGAATAAAATCTTTTTTGCCAAAACTGTTAAAGAGTCCACACTGTTTCCCTTGCAGTGCTGAGGCCACCTAACTGTGACAAAGAGGCAGAAGGAGAGGGTGGACAGCAAAGATAAGGGGGAATGATCCATCAGGAGATGACAGCAGCTATGGTGGGGTGTCCAGCCTGCAGCAGGAGGCAGCTACAGCAGCTGCAAGCAGGCAGCCTCCAACCAGCCTCTGAGGGGCAGCACCTTCACAAGTTTAATTTAAAACCCAGTACTTTATTCATTGATTTCATGCAGTGCTCTGCATTTGAGCAGCTTCTGCCTCGTCCTGATTCAGAAGTCAAATTATGGCTTCTAAGACCACTTCTAAAGTGCTGAAGTGACTTCCCAGCTTAAAAGGGGAATATGGGGCAATGCAGCACTGGCCTGTTCCTTGCTGAACACAAAATTCTATGTTCCATGGTTCTCAGATAAAAACTGTCATCACATGCTTGCTTCAAACAGTAAAGATCATCTTCCTATGCATTCTGTCCCAGTCCAGCAGAGTGCTTTTCTGTGCTGCTGTGGCTGAAAACAGGTGGGATGGAAACTGCATGGATTTTGCACATTTGCAATTCTGTTTTTTGCATATCTGTAACATTTCAGTATTTGCAGAAACACTTGAATTTGATATATGAAGACATCAGAGGACACCAAATGTGATAAGGGAACAAACAAACCCAACTCCTTCATGACTTGAACAGCCCATTATGTGTTTTTTTCTTTAACAATATGCAGGGGTTTGGTGTATTCTCTTCCTGTCCTACTTTCTTGCTCCATTCCACTATTCTAACCTTTTCTTTGAGTTCCTTTCTCTCACTCCATCACCAGGGCACATATATAATGCCATAATCACAGTGTTATGTATTATCATTGCTTACTTAGGTTGTGTGCTATATATAGCAAAAAAGACAGCTAAATTTGTACTGCAATAATTTATTAATTGGTTGTCACATAAATGGGACTTCTTGTGTTTGAATAATGAGTCATTTTTATTTAGTCATTACAGAAAAGAAAGTCAAAATTAACCTGGAGCACTAGATTCAAATCCAATTAATGTCTGAAAGTGTTACAAAACATGTACTATAATTATATACCAGCTTAAAAAAAGGAGAAAATTTTCTATATTAGTGCTAGTCTGAGCTTACATTACATTCTGCCACTGTCGATTTTCCAGATAATATTGTTTTATTAAGTTTTTAGTTTAGAGTTAGATCATACTATTTCTTAAGCCTGTAGAGAGATCGTGTTTTTCAGGGGGCTCCTTGTGTATGTAATGTTCAGTGTGCATTGTTATTTGATTTCCAAAAGAGAATAACAGCTTACCTTTGCCCACCAGCTTGAGAGCATGAAGTAGGTGTTAACATTTTCCTCACCAAACTGTTCTGCCACATAGAGCCCTAATGATCCATACTTGTCATATATGTTTCGCTTGGACAGATCAGTCAGGGTTGCATGGGCATTGTTGATCTCTTTAAATTTTTCTGCAGCCTCTGGATTATCTGGATTCTTGTCAGGATGATATTTCAGAGCCAGTTTTCTTAAATATGAGACAAAAAAAAAAAAAAAACCAAAAAAAACCCAAAAAACAAAACCAAAAAAACAAAGGGAAAGTAAGTCATCTGTATGTGTGCATGTACACAGGCACAAAACACTGCAAAAATTATTTTCATAGAGTTATAATAATTCTAACTGTGTGTTCAGCCTTTTTTCCAGCTCTGATGTATTCAGTGAAGGAAAAGTGACACAAAGGAACCAAACATGAAAGTTTTGATGAAAGAGGTGTGCCTATTACACTGAGAATGAACTTTGTGTATTGATACCTAGTCAGCTACTGCATTAAAGTAGACAGTGATATATGATGAAAACACAGATTGCAACATGATAGTAAATCACAGGCATTTGTTGCATTATGATTGCCAACTCATTTGCATCACTTAGCAGGTTTTAGCAAAAATAAAGATTTTTTAAAGGTTGTTTAAAAACATGATGATCACACTGCTTTTCCAGGCAACATTATTTTCTTTATAGCAAAGGAAATTCTATGTTCATTTGCCTATCAATAGTAGCTATATTAAAATGTTGTAAACAGTGTCTGTGTTTGCAGATGCCCAGACAGTGATGATGGAGAGCACAGTTAGGAATTGCAATAGAAGGGAAGCATCTTTTTGAAGCACAAGGTGGAAAAGCATAGTGAGTTAGTCCCAGTTTCAAGTGCCTGTCTTTTGACCTAGTTCTCCATTGTTGCACTCCCGAGACAATCCTTAAAGCACTAAAAGGGGGTTATCATAGGATCATCATAGGAACTATCACAGAATGGTTATTTTCACAGGATCATGGAATGGTTAGGGTTGGAAGAAACCTTAAAGATCATCTAGGTCTGTCCCCCTACTATGGATATGGACAGCTTCCACTAGACCAGGATGTTCAAAGCCCTGTCCAGCCTGTCCTTGAAGACTTCCAGAGATGGAGGTCCACAACTTTCCTGAGCAACCTCATGACCCTTACAGTAAAGAATTTCTTCCTAATATCTAATCTTAACACACTTGTTTTTAGTTTAAAGCCATTGCCCCTTGTCCCATCACTTCACGCCCTGGTAAAAAGTTCCTTTCCAGCTCTCTTGCAGGACTGCTTAAGGTACTGGAAGGTGCTCTTAAGGTCTCCCTGGAGCCTTCTCTTGTCCAGGCCAAACAACACCAATCTTTCAGCCTGTCTCCGTCTCTCTGATAATCCTCATGTCCTTTCTCTGGACTTGCTCCAACATGTCAACGTCCTTCTTATTTTGGGGTTTCCAGAACTAAATGCAGTAATCCCTGTGTGGTGTGAGAGTGGAGTAGTGTCAACTAGTTTGGGCTGCTTATGCCATTGGAAGCCTTTACTAGGTCAGGGTTTGACAGTGCTTTTTGCCCCTGACCATACTCAGCACTATGGCATTTGAGGAGAGGTACAGCTTGAAAAGTGCAGTGTGTGACTCTTGGCTCACAGCACTGGGGAAGCACAGCATCGAGAAGAAGGGGTTTGCTTCCAACCATCGTGAAGCACTGGTCGTGTGAACTGACACACACTTGCAAAACAAGCATAGACAGAAGTATGTATGTTCAAAAATCACCACTCCCTGTAAAGAACTTGTGAAGTCCCCAGGACATTTATTTAATGACTAGTGCTGACCTCTAGTGGCATCAAAAGTGACTTAATTGTCTTTTAAGCTGATTCAATTGCAGCCAAGCTACGTTTCTTTTTCTAAATATTCTCTCAAAATATTTTGAGAGCTAGCCATAACTGCTATGACCAAAAATAGTATTTGTGCTGTGAAGGCAGTGTGCCTACACTTCCTCCAACAAATTTAACCTCAGAGTAGAGTCCTACTTGATTTCCTTCTGAAGTCCCAGTATAGGTTACTCCTCCAGTAAAGAGTAACTGCTTTATTCCTGATGACAGTTCCTGCCTGGAAGACATTCTGCCAATATTAAGACTGATATCAGCCTGGGAACAGCTTCTGCCAACGATCTCTTCAATTCTGTTGCACTCAAGTCACAGAATCCTAGGTCATAAATAACTCCTTAAACATGTGTCTAATAGCATGAATAAGTTCATGTTCAGTCATATTTAATACACTGTGTATATTGTACCTTAAATACAAAGGTTTGGCCATGTTTAACATGTGCCCTAAACACAATAAAAATTAAATATAAGAACTGAAAAAACAAGCTAAGTCTTGCATGACTAATGATATTATGTGTCATCCAAGTATTTGAGTAAATTGTGCAATCTATCTCTTTTCTTACCTGAAAGCAAGCCCCAAAAATTAGGAAAAAAAAAAAAAAGAAAAAAGGGAAGAAAAAAAAAAAAGTATTACTTTCAAAGACCCCTGTATGTTTGCAGGCATCCAACAATCAATTTGCAGCCTTTCTTTCTTTTCCCAGAAACCCAAAGACATCTTCTGGCTTACCTACATCCCAAACAATCTTATAAAAAGTAAGAATTTGAACAGAATGTCTTTTTAAAAAGATGAAACACATTAGTTTCACGCTCACTTTACCTAGTATTGTTTTAGACTACTAACAGGATTACTTCCAGCAATTAACAAAAGATAATCTGTGTTCTTATTTTGATTTTGGGACAAATGTTCTCACTAATAAGAGTACATTAGCAAAACAACTCTGTGCACACTGAGATGGCATATACTAACTGAAGATGATTTAGCAATGGGAGAAAGATCTAGATATTAGCAGTGCAATTCATATGAGTGAGACAAAGGACTCTGTTAGGTCCGACCCAAGGAATAATAAAAGCAAGGACAAAAACTAGGTGACATAACACAAAGTACTAGCTGTATGGTACTGTGGGTATCTGTGGGTCCCTGGAAAAGTGACATTTCCAATTATGGAATAGCTAGAGTTCATTATGACAAAAAATAAGAAGAAAAAAAGTAGATAGTGAAATGAACAAAGGAGTTTTTAGGCTACTTCCTACACCAAAACCATGAGTTTATGTCCATTCATACTTTTATCATGGTGAAAGGCTTTCTCCTTCACTGCCATAGGATCACTGCCCACTGCAGACCTCCACAGAAGAAAGTAAAATTGGGAGAGAAAAGTGGCAATAAACAGAAAACCAGCAATTCCACAAGATGGACGAGTGTGCCATATCCATATGGATAAGGCACATATGGAAATAAAGTCAGTGAAATAAACTCACGTCCTCTGTCAGTGGGAGGTGCAGGCTGAAAAGTGAGATCAGGCCAGACTCTGACACAGGGATGGATCGGATGAGGGTGCTTTTGAATGAAGATAACAATATTTTGAAGACAGAAAAGTATGCTCCATAGGGTCAGATATGACAACATTATGAAGTATTGTAGTATGTGAGCATGATGCATCCATGTTTCCTTCGATAGCTCAGCTGGTAGAGCGGAGGACTGTAGGCTCCCTTGCATGGCCATCCTTAGGTCGCTGGTTCAACTCCGGCTTGAAGGAGTGACCTTTTGGCTCTGGCACACATCCTGCACTGGCACTGCTGCCTTTTTCCTAGTCCTGCTCAGGGGGCTTTCCTTCAAAGGTCTGTCCAGCCATGAGCTCTTGACTGAGGTTGGGAAGATGACCAGATAAGGTATATTTTTTTGGTGAACCCTTGATCAGGAGATGCTGGTTCTGAGCTCTGGACTTTCAGGGATCACCTCCAAGAGGAGGTGAGTGAGTGTGTAGTAATGTGAAAGTGAAGATCATTAGTGGGGGTTCAGGCTTTGGGTGCAGGCCATCCTGGGTCAGGGCCGGGTGCCTGGGAGGGGAGAGGACTTTGTCAGGGGCTGCAGGGTGGGGAATTAGCTCAAGTGGTAGAGCGCTCGCTTAGCATGTGAGAGGTAGCGGGATCGATGTGCATTCTCCAGTGCTTTTCATTCTCCCTTGCTTGGACACAGGGATCCATCTATTCTCTGGGGGTTGGGGGAAGATTCATGGTGTGCCCTGGATTTACAGAGGATGACATCCAGGGTGGTATCAAGACTACTATGGGCACTTTGGCAGAGGAATTGATCTCCTTCTTCTTTGCTTGACAGTTCTCAAGTATCAAGTAATGTACAGAAAAGGACATCAGTGGAATAGAGCAACCTCAGTGGAGGGCCACCAAGGAATTGAGGAATTATCTTTAAAAAAGACTGAGGAGGGTAGGTGCTTTCAATCTGCAAAAAGAGATGTTCAGAGGACTTACACATGGTGTTGCACATCTTGTTTTCTCTTATTCTTGAACAGAGAACAAAAGACAGCATAGTGGAAGGGAATCAAGGGAAAATGCAGCAGGATACAGGTAAGCTCTGTGTGTCCGTGAGGAAGTTCATCTGTAGAAGATGACGTCCAAAGAGGTTATGGAGCATTTCTGTGGTTTTTCAACTAATGGGTTGAACAAAGTTCTGTGATGTTGGAGCTGAGGTTGTTTGAAGCAGAATATGGTAATAGAGGCATGATGGTGCACTGTGGCTTGGGAAAATGCTGGTTGATTGTGTGCTGGGCAAGATCCTGGGAAGATGCCCATGCTTCCTTCAATAGCTCAGCTGGTAGAGCGGAGGACTGTAGGCTCCCTTGCATGGCCATCCTTAGGTCGCTGGTTCAACTCCGGCTCGAAGGAGAGACCTTTTAGCTCTGGCACACATCCTGCACTGACACTGCTGCATTTTGATCCTGCCCAAGGGGCTCTCCTTCAAAGGTCTGTCCAGCCATGAGCTCTTGTCTGACCTTGAGAAGTTGACCAGCCAAGGCATTTTTGGATGAATCCTGGTTAGGAAATTGTGATTTTGTGCACTGGTGTTGTCTGGAATCACAATCAGTAGGAACATGAGTTGTTGATGGTGTGAGAGTGAATGGGATGCCCAGGCTTTGGGTGCAGGGCATCCTGGGTCAGGGCTGGGTGCCTGGGAGGGGAGAGGACTTTGTCAGGGGCTGTAGGGTGGGGAATTAGCTCAAGTGGTAGAGCCCTCGCTTAGCATGTGAGAGGTAGCGGGATCGATGCCTGCATTCTCCAGTGCTTTTCATTCCCCTTAGCTGGACC